AAGAGCTTGCCCATTGAAAACAAACTGGTTTTAGGGTGTTGGTTCACAGTCATCCATGGAGGCATTTATTGGAGTATGATTCCTCTGTGTTTTTATTGGTCTTGTCCTCAGGTCTGACCGAGGTGCCAAAGAATATTCCTCAGGACACCAAGTTCCTGGACCTGCAGAACAACCGTATCACTGAGCTTAAAGAGAATGACTTCAAAGGCCTCACTAACTTATATGTAAGATCCACACACAGTCTGGCCCCATACACACATATCCCTCTCAGCATTAGATCAGCAACTCTTAAAGATGTGTAACTGACTCAGCTGAGCTTGGATTGGCTTTGGTAGTGTGAAATATCATTATGACTCTCCGTTTCCTCTGGGATTTAGAAATTAATTTCCTTCCATCCACCGCCCTCTGCTCTGAGAGCCTTAATTGTATTATGTTTGAGCCTGAAGCCAAATGGGAGTATTCAAGCTCACATCCTTGCTTCTCTTAGCAGAAGAACTTTGCTCACTCCTCCTGACCTGCATTCAAGAGCACTGACCAAGAGCAATATTAAGTCTGGCAGCGTAGGAAACTCCCAACATGACATTATACAATAACATCTCTATTAAGGTCTGTTTACCTCAGCCTACATCTGTCTCCAGCTTTCAGCCAGCGCAGGTGGAGAGACAGTCTGCTGGTTGACGGACTGCTGTGAGCTGCTGCTGGATCTGTTTTAATTCACTCAAACACATTCGGTAGAGGCAGAGGATGCAAACACAAGCTCTTCTGTGTATTATTTCAGCTTTCGTTTCTTTTCCTTTTCTGGCTGTCTGGGTTCTACTGATGGTTTTTCACAGATTGCCTCTCCACGGTTTCTGTGTTTGTTTTCAGGGTCTGTCTCTGAGGAATAACCTCATTTCCAAAGTCCACCCCAAAACATTTGTGCCCTTGAAGCACATGCAGAAGCTCTACTTCTCCAAGAATCTGCTGACCACTGTCCCCAAGAACTTGCCTGCCTCTCTGGTTGAGATGAGGATCCACGAGAACCGCATCAAGAAGGTGGCAGCTGGAACCTTTGCAGGACTGGGCAACATGAACTGCATAGGTCAGAAATGCTGATGACATCAACAAATCTAGACTATATTCCATGGTGCTCACCACTGCTCTTTGCCACTGTATAGCATTGGCATTGGATTTTGAAGATTAAAGAGAATGTATTTTTATTTCATGCCACAAATATTCTCTTCATCTTGCAGAAATGGGAGCAAACCCCATCCAGAACAGCGGTTTTGAGCCTGGAGCTTTCAAGGGACTGAAACTGAATTATCTCCGCATATCAGAGGCCAAACTGACTGGGGTACCAAAAGGTAACCCCACATCTTTGTGGCTAAAATGCAATGCATTGTGTTAGGGTATCTTTAAAGGAATAGTTCATCAATTTGGGAACTGTTTATTTGCTTAGACTGATACCACTCTCATGTCTGTATGCTAAACATGAAGCCAGCAGCAAATTAGCTTACCACAGAGATTAGAAACAAGGGGAAACAGCTGTCCTGGCTCTGTCCAAAGGTAAACTATTATATCTTGTTTGTTTAATCAATCCAATGGTTTCTTTACTGGTTGCCTGGCAACTTCACAGTGATGAAAAATCTCCAGGAAGTCACTGCCTCTGGCCAAGAAATACTCTTCGTAAAACCACAAATTGCCATTTTTACACTTACTTTTTTTGTACGCATTAAACTAACAAGATATACCATAAAACTTCAGTTAAATGCCTAGTCCCAGTTAGATGCCTGTCCCTTTAACTGGCTTGGTGTGGTTGCACATGTTTTTTGGATGTATTTAATCTCTTAAAGCCCACTGGGTAGCCTGCTTGAGATAGTTCCAATCTGCTGAGATTGTGCATAGCCTACACATATAAAGGTCAATATGAAGAAGCTAGACATTGTAAGATTGGTTAGATTCTCCACCATTCAATTGTTCATTTTATGGAAACAATTCAGATCTCGTGGCATGGTAAACACAGGAGATGAAAAAACCCCACATCTTTATATTATAATATAATATTATAATATTTATAATATTCATACTGGTTGAAAAAAACAATTTCATAGAAGCTAGAAGTTTTGTGCTAAACAAATTAAAGGCCTGTCCCTTACAGACGCTTCTCCCTATTATAGGCAGGGTGAGCATATAAAGCCCAGGCTATTAACTGAAGTTTTAAGGTAACATGTTAATAGGTGAGTTTTTACCTTTGGAGAGAGCCAGGTAAGCTGTTTCTCCCTGTTTCCAGTCTTTTTGCTAAGCTAGGCTAATGCCGACTGTAGCTTCATATTTAACTGACAGACATAAAGGTGTTATCAATCAGTTCATGTCCCAAAATGTCAAAATATTTCTTTAAGTACCTCTAACTAATAGTGTCAATATGGCAAGAAAGGGCTAAGCGGCATAGGATACACACAAAAGTAATAGGAAACTAAGGGACAAAAATACAATAAAGTGGAGCCTGACATGTATGTCTTTCAGATCTCCCAGACAGTCTCCATGAGCTTCATCTGGACCACAACGAGATCCAGGCTGTGGAACTGGAGGACCTGAGCCGCTACAAAAACCTATACAGGTACATTTCCCACTTCAACATCATACTCAGCTCTAACCATTACCAAGTACTTGCACCCTGAGGGATTTGCTTGCATATCTGTGAAGAATTGTCTTGTGGTTTAAAAAAAAACACATCCCCAGTCAGCAGTGCCCCTCAGGGGTAATAATATGAACTACATCAACGTACCACTAGAAAGTAGCAGGATTAGCGTGTGTGGGCTTTCCCACTGCAGTCACAACAGCAGTCTATTCCCATCATCTAATGTACTTTTCAACAAGCACCATAAGTTGATTTTTCATTTTTCACCGCCACCATTTTGATTTGTTATAACAAGAAAATCACAGGTGTTCCTCTCTTTCACCTTCTTTCTACACACTTCTAATCTCTAATGTGGTTATTTATGGTCACAGGAGTATTGCCAGGCGACTGTGGCCCTAATTCTCACCTGGCTTAAAATCCCTTTCTTGCAATGATATTTATCAGCGAATTTCCAGTTACTCCAGCTAAAACAGTTCAGCTAAATGTACCATGCAGTGTCCTCATTTCTGCATATTTCACATTTCTCCCCTTGTCTTACTTTTTCCAGGTTGGGCCTTGCCTTTAACCATATCCGTAACATAGAGAACGGCAGTCTGTCCTACCTCCCCAGACTGAGAGAGCTGCATCTGGACAACAACCGCCTCACTCGTGTTCCCCCAGGCCTCCCACATATGAAATACCTACAGGTGAGTCTAACATGCACACATTTTGTTTGCCATCTGAGATTGAATGTTTCACATGATGCTCTGCTCACCCTCCACTTTGCCCCTATTGCTTTCTAGGTGGTGTACCTACATTCCAACAACATCAACCAGGTGGGTATGGATGACTTCTGCCCTCGAGGATTTGGGATGAAGAGGACATTCTATAACGGCATCAGTCTGTTTGCCAACCCAGTGAACTACTGGGAGGTGCAGCCTGCCACATTCCGCTGTGTCAGCGACCGGATGGCCATTCAGTTTGGCAACTACAAAAAGTAAAGACAGGGGGATACTGACAGGTGGAGAGAGTGAGGGGAAGGGGATGGAGGAATGGAGGAGGAGCTTATAATTTAAATGATGAAAAAAACTTGAGAGTTGTAAGGGAGTTCTTGTTTGAAATGATTAATTTTATTTTTTGTTTTTGGAGGAAAGATGAGTGATGGGGAAGATAAACTGATGAAATAGAAAGGAAGTGAAACACACAATCACATAACTTGAAGGGAGTGGAAAGCAAAACGCTTGCAGTATTTCACCTGAGTTTTTGCATTTTCAGATTTAAGGTTTTGAAAATTTTGCCATCTGAACTGGAAGAAACAGAGGAGACGGTCTGAGGAAAATGTTTCCCCCTAGCCTAAATCAATGAAAAATTTGTCCTGAAAACTAGTATTTCTAAACTAAGTATTTCATTCCATATTTTTCACACAATAGTGCTTATTGTGATAGAAGTAATTTTTATTTTTAGTAACATCTTTAAGATTTCAAGTAAAAAATAGAAAAGCAATGCATTATAGATTTTTTATATACACATAAAAATGTGTGTATGATTTTCTGTGTGTGCCAATTTGGAGACACATCACATTGTCCCTGTTTCACTCGTCCGAAGCCATTTGGCCCACAACTTTGTAATAAAATTATACTGTCTTGTACAAAAAGTAGAAACTATTATTCAGGTTTACCAGTTGAAAAAAATTTGGCAGTTAATTATTTAAATAAAAGGGCAATAGGTACATTTTAAAATTCCCCTCATCTGTACTAAACATATTGTCTTATTGATCTGAGGTCACTGAACCACCAGCCTGCCTGTGTAAAGAGTCTATTCTGTGCCTTTCTAAATATTATGCTGTCTGTATCATACTTTAATACAGTGTTCCTTGAGGGGACACTAAGTAGTAGTGGGAGTTTGCCCCAGTTAGAGAAAACACACATCTGCTTTGCTTTGACACAATGAAGGCAGTGTGTTTACATAGTGCTACAAATAATAGTAGTGTTGATGCATTGTTTTGCACAGTATTTCTGTTATGGTTTATCTGCTTCAGGGTTGCTGGAGGGTTAGCCTGTTTATTATGGTAAACCTATGTGGAACTACTTTAGCCATATTCTGTTCTGTCTCTGTTCTGTAATCTGACAAGCTACTGCTGCATGTGAATAAAGACATTTTTAGCCTGCTGCATAAAGCCAGAGAACAACTGATGCCCCTGGGTTGGATGCTATGTGAGAAATAAAGAAGAAATATCACTTTGTGTAGAGAGATTTTGAGTCCACAATTTATAATTTACAATACTACAAACATGTACATGTTAAGAAAGCTCACATTATATTTGATGTGTGACAACAACCGATCCTTTTGAACGTGTGTGGGATTTTAAGAGGTTGGATCCTCCCAAATCCCAAATAGTAAACAGAGTTGTTAATATAATTTTGATTCTGTGGACAGGGTGCCACCAGGTCTTTAAAAGGCCTTAAAGGTCTTACATTGAAAACTGCTGTCCTGAAGTCATGAATTAGTCATGATTTGAATCCATAACTTAATTTCAACATGATCGTTTCTTCTGATAGCTTTGAAGGGCAAATAAAGTCAATATATCATTTTGTCATTCAGGGTCAATATGGCATTTTTGCATTGTTAAAAAGAATGAAAATGTTTGATATTATGTGGGTTTTTAAAAAAAGTTTTTGTGTCAGAATTTTTTTTAGCCAGAACAAATGTCTTGACTGGTCATACCACCACAATTTCTTGTCACATTCCTACTGTATTGTGATATTCATTTGTCTCTGCTGATTCACTCCCACAGTTTCATGCTCCCTCCACGAGTTCTTCTGTGTGGTAGGGTACTTTCGCATGAGACTTCGCATCTTCAGCACTAATGAACACCCACACCCACCCACAGACAGAAGGGCCCACTGCACAGAAATTTCAACCATCTCGTCTTTTTCACATTTTCACATAAAAAAAATGATGACAACATATGTATTATCGTCACTCTGATGAATAATTATGAATATTGTGTGTTATGGACTCCCTAATTAGCAGGTTATAGCCTATCCAGGTTTGGTGATATTTGCAAATAACCGTATAGGCTATGTCTCTTGAACGAAAATGCATTCTATTGTGTTCTTAACTTAATTTGCATCCAGATAATCAGCAGTTATTTAAAATATGTATGCATGTATCAATCAGTCAATCATCAGTCGCAAAATCATCATAATTTTCAAATATGCCGCTCCGCGCATCACCAGCCCATCTGATTCAATGATTGAGTTGTACAGCTGTGTTTGGATCGGGCAGAGCGCACTTGCCTGTGTTGACACTGGACGGATATGCGGCGATGCTCTTGCGTGTGAAAGCGGCTGCAGCGGTCTCTAAGCAGCTACGGACAGATTTCGCATCGGATGAGAGATTAGGAGGAGGAGGAGGAGGAGGGGAAAGAGCGACCATCAATCAGGAAAAAAAACCCGGTGTATTTTGGTCCATCGCGTCTACTCGTTGGCGGCGGCGGCGGCCCGTGGATTCTCAGAGGAAGCCAGGGGCTGGATTTCAAATGTCGCAGGGATGTGCTGGTGAGTCGACTGGTGATGCAACGCTTGTTTGGAGCCTATTATTTTTTTTAATTAAGAAGCAGCCTTGTAGCCAGTGATGCTGTCGAATAAATATTATTGACACGTTTTCGCTTTGGACAGGTAAATACTGGACATGCGTGCCTGCATAGTTATAACGATAAGCTAGATGTTGATAGGCTAATCAGCTGGACTGAAGGCTTGTACTGATAACCATGGCGCTGTTTCTGCTCTACTCTACTCTGTTAGCCTATTTAATCGGTAGCCATGCATTCTTATATCCTCTCTCTGGAAATTCAGCGATGAATGCATGCTCGCTATAGCATGTAGTTGTTTGGACTAACTGAGAACTGTGATGTTGGATTAATAGGCTACTGTTGATCCGCAGGCACCAGCGTCTCTTCCATAAACGCCCCAAATGTCACTGCTGGAAATAAGCCATTCTAAATAAAGAAGCAACGGTGACATTTGTTTGTAGCTGCCTGTCACTTTCCCAGCTTTATTTAGCTGTACAGTAACCTACACAGTGAGACGCATCTGCGGCTGCTGTTCCTGCTCAGGTCTTTTTTATTATTATTATTACAGAAAGCTTGATGATGACAAGAGGAAGAAGAGGAGAGACCTGGAGTGAGCCCTTCCTGGCCCAGTACAGGTTTTAATTAGACCTCTGCAAAACCAGGTACCTTACATTTAGACTGGTGTAATACAATCATAATAATAAGGAATAAATGTAATTTTAACTAACAATAGTTTTCTTTTTTCTTTGCAGTTGAAGTCTGTGGTCAGGAGGTGATGGCAGTGCTAACTGAGCTTCACCATCGCTCCTACCTATTCCTACAGATGGACATCCACTTCATGCACGCCTGAGCCTGCACTCAACCCTGCCTCCTTCCCCTCCTTTCCTTCTGCCCATCCTTACTCATTTCCCACCTCTTCCTCCACCAAACTTATCAAGCTACCACTCGCTGCCCCCCCCCCATCTCTCCTCTTAAACCCTCCACCCATACCCCCCACATTGAATTTCACTGTACTACACGATCTTACTTTATTATGGCGTGCTGTGGGCGCTCTCTGGACTCTCCGTGCACACTAGCCTTGCTGGTGGGCTTCCAGTTTGCCTTTGTTCTCTATTTCTCCCTTGGGGGCTTCAGAGGTCTGGTGTCTGTCCTGGTGCACACCACAGAGCCAGAGTTTGATTACTCTCGGCCTCACGACGTCTATACCAACCTTAGTCACCTGGGAGTACCGCCTCCCCCGCCTCGCAACTCTGGCACTGGACCCCCTGCCACGGGACCACCACTGAGAGACTGCCAGATCCCCTCCCCACTGCTGGGTGAGAGAGTTAGAGGGGTTTAATGTGTGCTGTATTATGTAACACATGCACAGACAGTCAAATGCACAGCGAACAGTTGTGTGGCATTCTACTTAGCTGTTGGTCAGACAAAAGCTAGACAATAGCCTACCACTTTTCACACTTTTTTCATTTCCTTTGTTCCAGTCGGACCTGTGTCCGTCCATCTTTCCTCTCCTCTGTCCCTGGAGGAGATCAGACAGAGGAACCCGTTAGTGTTGCCAGGCGGACGCTACCGACCTCCAGACTGTGAACCTCGCCACCACACAGCAATAGTGGTACCGTACCGGAACCGGCAAACCCACCTCCGTGCTCTCCTTTACCACCTCCACCCCTTCCTGCAAAGACAGCAGATCCACTACAGCATCTATATAGTACAGCAGGTCAGGTTATGTGTTGTGTGCCGCAGTATTTTTGTGTGTGTGTGAATGTCATTAAATATCTTGTTTCTCAGTTGTACTGGTGTAACGTTATTACATTTATAGTGTAACACTGGTGCCATACTGGTGTAACACTGTTATTACATAATGCGGATGTATTACCAGTATATTAATGTTGTAATAGTAGGGTACCACTAGTGTAATATTTCTGTTGTAGTGGTGTGTGTTGGTATTATGGGTGTGTCACTGTGTTATACTGGCATAGTACTGGTGCAACAGTGGTTGTAACATGTTTGTCTTGTTGTGCCATCCGAGTATAATGCTAGCGTATTATTGGTGTACAGTATAACCAGTATGTTATCTGTGTTATGTTGGTTTAATACTGCAATACAAAATGTATTAATCAAGTATTGCAAACATCTGATTTAAAGGGTCAGTTCATCAAAATTAAAAGTTTTGGCAGGTGAGAAGTGTGTGTTGTTGTAACACTCATTTCAGCCACAAGGGGCTAAAGTGCACCACTACCCAATGTGCTAAATATGACTAAAAGCATTCATTCTTCCAGGGGAGATGTAATTTCTCTATGCACTCTAAACATAAGCAAGGTACATATATTGTGTGTTAGCAAGTTATGTAAGATTACTGTCATGTCTTTCTTTTGGCTAAAAATGTATTTTAATCGGTGCTAATCTGAAGTGGCGCTTCAACCTCTTGTGGCCAAAATTAGCATTACAACAACAAACTTTTCTTTCACCTGTTTTCACAAATGAAAACACTTTTTTGGAAACTGTTTTCATCTGTTCACCTCAAAAGATGTCAAAGAATCATCTGTTCTTCAATAACATAACATCCCTTAGCCAATCAGAATTGAGTACTTAACACATGCTGTATTTGTTTTAAAATTAATACATTCATGTGCGTTAAACTCTGTTTCTGACTTCAGTGGGGGAACGGTACTTTCAACCGAGCCAAGCTGCTAAATGTTGGGGTACGGGAAGCCCTCAGAGATGAAGACTGGAGCTGCATCTTCCTGCATGATGTTGACCTGCTGCCTGAGAATGACCACAATACCTACACCTGCCACAAGCAGTTCCCCACACACCTGTCTGTGGCCATGGACAAGTTCAGATACAGGTAGAAGCATGGTGTGTATGTGTGCGTGGATGGACTTCTATAGAAATGTATTGTGCTGAGACATTATTTTCAAGATTGTACATTGGTGATGTGACCCTCCCAGGCTGCCGTACCCACAGTATTTTGGTGGGGTGTCTGCAGTGACCCCAGACCAGTACATGAAGATGAACGGCTTCCCTAACCAATACTGGGGCTGGGGTGGAGAGGATGATGACATTGCAGCCAGGTGAGGAGAGGGTGAATGGGGCAGAGGTCCACATCCTTGCATGATGTCATGTGAGGTGTGCTCGAGTGTATCAGCATCAGAACTACATGCATGGCCATTTCAGCCTCTCCGCTTCATTCATCTTTTCTCTCATGTCTACAGTTTCCTTCCTCATGTTTTCCTCATGTTTGACTTTTGTTTTAAGTGTCTTAACATTATCTTTCATCTTCACGTCCCCTCCCACTGCTGTGGCTTTGCTGTGTGTCTCTTGGAGTGGGCTCAGTGAGTATGCGCGCTTAAGACTTTTCAGGCAGTTTTGAGGTTCATTTCATTTCTGTGCTGAGGGTCCCCTCTCTCCTCTCTCTGGCTCTTCTATCATTTGCCAGTCTGTTATGAGAGACTCTGAATGGAACAAGAAAATGAAAACCAAAAAGCTTGCACTAATTATTACATGAGACTAAACTACAAGAATATTTCTTGCCTACTGTTTGTAACAATTTGCCTTTTGTGCATGATGTTTGCTACTTAAAATATATATTATACTAGACATTTACAACATCAGTTACACCATGTTTTGATTGACTTAGATAACTTGGGTGGTAGACGCGCACCAGAGATGAAAAAAGGGAACCACATTGTTTTCCACTGCCTAAGATGTTATTCTCATAAATCACTCACAATTCTGTTTGTTTATTTTTCCGCTTTTAAGTGTATCCCTTAGAGGATAGATGTATTCATTGAGGATTACTGTTGCTTTGCGTTATAGAAAATAGCATGAATAGTAAAGTGTCTGTCTATGCTGACCCATTGTCCTGACTCTGAGATTTAGTTTTCCAGTTTTATGCTGTTCCTGTTGACTCCTGTTGTGTGCTGCCTATCCAGAGTACGTCTGTCTGGCATGAAGATCATGCGCCCTCCAGTGGCCATTGGTCATTACAAGATGATTAAGCATAAAGGAGACAGAGGCAATGCGCAAAACCCACGCAGGTACAGGTGGACACATTTGCAGACACACAAAAATAATGTAGGGATATTTTTTCCTTTGATCTACTACTGTGGGTGGGATGTTTTTGGGCTATGAAACAAGAATTTTCACACTGTCAAGTAAACACTCAGTACCACTAATAACATTGCCATTGCTGAGGACAGGCATTGTTATAATGCTTTCTAGCCTTTTTGTTCCAGTCTTATCCTATCTCCAACCCTTCACATATTGACTTTCTACAGTAACGGTTGTTTAATTTTCGTTTGTTGAGATACTATTTTGTGTTTTGATACTATTTTTGTGTGTGTTTCATTTTCCTCTGCTCGCTCTGTCGTGCCAACAATATCTACTGCCTCACACATGCCAGGAGATGGTTAGCTAAGCATAGCATAAAGACTGGGAAAGGGGGAAACAGCTAGCAGGAAAGAAAGTTAGCACATTTCCCATAATGTAAAACTTTTTCCTTAAAGTTTGACCATGAAACGCACACACACGCAAGCACACAAACATGTGATATTATGTTCGTCTTTCTAGATTTGACCTTCTGAAAAGGACCAGACTCAACTGGCGCTCTGACGGCCTCAACTCTCTGACCTATGAGCTCCTTTCCAAAGAGCTGGAGCCTCTCTACACCAACATCACTGTCAACATTGGTGAAGACCCCCATCTGCCCCAGGGGAAAGCACCCATCCTTTTGAAAACAACAACTCCTGTCCACCTACGTAGCATCAGCAAGACCGAAGACACAGCAAAAGAGGAGAAGAGGCAAGAGGCTAAACGGGCTGTTGTGGCAAATATGACTGTGGCCAAGCCGGTTGGTGAAAAGACAGAACCTACCCAGTCAAAGGCAGCGAATCAAACAACACAGGAGAAGACAGGTGTGATGAAACAGGATGAGGTGTATAATAAAAGGACTGCATCGCATCTGTAGCTAAAAGTGGCTTCCCCCTTCATTTTGATCTGGAGGACAAAATGGAGGAAAGCAGTGTAGATCTATTCTGTTGTGGGACATAAAGCGCACAAGCTTTTTGGGCTCAGTGCAGGTTAGGGATAGTTGAACACAACTGCGTCGCCCTCTTGGTTTATCATCCACTGAATGTGACTTTTAGGTCTAGCGACTGACCCGGGTCTGTGGTCACGACTAGATTGGGGCCAAGAGAAGAACAGTGAAGGACTCAGTCATATCCATGTAAAGGTCCATAACGAAATGAAAATGAGACCGCAAATATATAAATCTCTGCTCTTTTCCAGACGTCGCAAGTTGTAAGTATCCCACCTGCTGCCAGCAGACCTGCAGCTTCATCCAGTATGTTCCCCATAAAAACTACTGCTGTCAGTCCATCCCACTCCATGGTGGGTTTGTGTTTCTGTGCCTTCTGTCTTTTATGCGTATTTTATAGACCGGTATAGTTGCTTTTAGACACTGACCTGGGGGTTCATTTTCCCCCTTTCTGTCTCGTGGCAAATATTAGAAAGCAGGGAGGCTGAAGCTGATCTTAGATGAGAACAAAGGATTTGTTCCAGGACTGCCGTTTTATATTTGTGTGCATTGAACAAGCGCTGACCAACTCCGTAGTTATCAGACAATGCTAGAGTTTATATTTATATAGAGAGACTTCTTTATTTGTTTACAGATTTGTTTTACTCGTCCTTCCTTACAGTCTGGTGCCTCTCTCTCTCTCTCTCTCTCTCTCTCTCTCTCTCTGACATTTAGTTTCTAGAGTTTCTAGACAATCAAATCATATGGAAAGATTACTCTGTATCCAACCACATAACAAAAATTTAGGAAATATTATCATGACTATCTTTACACTTGTCACATAAACATAGACTTGGCATGATAGTTGTTGTCTAGTTTGACTATACTCTTGATACATGGATAGACCTGTGCTTCTAATATTATCTGTGATTTTATTATTTTTCTTTTAGATTAGTCAGATATGGGGAGATTGTGAACTTGCAGACAATATTGTAGGCACGTGACTAAACTTTTGACAGTTTCAGATTGTATTTTGATAATAAAAAGGTCATAGTACGATAAAGCACTGTGTATAGATCTAGGTCAGCTTTTACTAGGTCTAAGGCCTAAAGCTAAAAACTAAGGCCTCGCGTCTTCACAAAGGGTCTTTCAGTATATAATGAAAGAACCCGGTGCATTTAAAAGCTACAAATGAGTCGGCCTCTCCTTGTCCTTCATTCGCTAGGATGAAGCTTTTGTGTAAAGGAAAGCAGACAAGTAAGAAGGAAACACATGTATTATACAACATCTAATACTTGTATTCTGAGGGCTGATAAATTAGGACATGCATGTACGTAATTTGTGTTGACAGATTAATTAGCATCTACATATATGATCTTGAAACCACTTCACCTCTCAGACATATTTTTCTCCCATATCAGCCAACGTATTTCTTTGAGTTGTCATCCTAGTTTACCTTTTGTCAAGGGAGAGTTCATCAGTTGAGCTTAGTTTGTGAATGAGGACTTGAATTGCATCTCTTGTAGGCCATAGGATTTCTTGCTGCTATTTCACTAGGGGAATGGTTCACTATCATTAATTAGTTTGAAAAATGACATATTGTAACGTAAATCTTCTTTTGTGGAATTGTGTTTTATCACACTAACATGTAATGTATTACTCATTTGAATGTATTTAATTTATTAATGCATTTATTGAATCACTGATAGAGCTAAATGCACAGACTTATGAAGTGTGTTTTGGGGACAGTTTGTTATCCCTTTATACTGTATCTCCATGTTTCTTATGTTAACATTGTGCCTCATGAAATAAGCCCATATTCCTGAAGGAGTGAAGGCATACTGCTGGGTTATATATGAGCGCCATCAAGTGGCACAGTTTGGCATAACACCCGCCAGGAGGAACCAAGGACTGAATGAAACTCCAGTGTTGTGGCTTGAATGTTAATCATTAATGTTGGCCATGCACAGGTGTCAGCCAATCAAATCTTTGCATTGCTCTGCGTCGAGGGTCTCTCATTTGCATTTTATCACATGATTGATCCGGCCAGCTTAAAGGTGTAGAGCACACTCTGTATTTCACTGGTTAATAGAACCAGAAACTACATGGTGAGTGTTATGTGAATGGATATAGTTTTACAGAGGTTATCTATCTTTATTTATGATGGAAATATTGCCTGTTTTAAACAAAATCTGCTGTTATAACAGATTGTCTTGACAGAATACAGTGGAAGTTAATAAGTCCTCATTTCCTACCTTTATACTACATAATTATTTAGTTGCATATCAATAAGTGATATATCCTCCATTTATCATATTGCCTGGGACAATGCCTGTATGACATGAAGCAGTGACACTGAAAGCTTTTAAGGACATTATGTAATCTCAGCAGATTAATCAGCAAACTGTGTGCTTACCTGGAGATTGTTCTATATTTAATAAATAGGCTAGTTTTTATAAAGGATGTTTTCGCATACGTGTTGGAAATATATACTGTCTAGTTGAATGAAAAATTCAGTAATCAGGATTGGGACTTTATGGGAGGAGTTAGGGAGTTCATTTGATCGTGAGTTCATTCTGTCATTATACTGACACGTTCGAGGAGTAGAAATGTGATTGCCAAGAACCACCTCACTGGAAAGATGGGTTGTTTATGTATTCATGGAAAATGATAAGTAGCTCATACATTTCATCACTTACCAATGATATTTGCATCATGCAGTGATATCTGTCGTCATCTTAGGTTGCCTTATTTACTGACCTTGTCTTGAAGATGAAAATTAGTGTGTGTGTGTGCGTGTGCGTGTGCTTGTGTAGAGAGAGCAAGGTCATCAAAAAAGGCAACAAAAGTAGTGAACTATGATGGACAATGTTGTGACAGAGCAAATATGTATACCAATAAAAAAACATAATCAAAAACATGTCTCTACCCACATTTTCTGTCTTGAACTTACCAAACACATTCATGCAATGACATGAATGTGGAGCTACACTCAAGTGCACACTACACTATAAATATACTTAAATACCTACAGTGATGCACTTACTCCCCCACAACACTCAAGGCCTCTTAATGAATACAGGGTTTAGCATTCTGAATAATGCTGCTACAGCTTTCACATGGCAGAGATCAGATGCTCATGCTAGCTGGTAGATTAGCAGTCATATATCATCATCAACACATGCTGTAGACCAATTTAAAACTGCACTAACCTGTTACATCACCCTGTGCATAGCAGGCCCCAGTGTTTTATGTGGGCATAAAGAGCAGGATTAAAAAGTTGGATGTGAGATCATACCTATAAATAGTCTGTAACCCCCCAGCTCTCTATGTTCGATCTGTTTCATAATGTATGACTCACCAAGAGGGGGTAAAACAAAAACTCATGGACTGGGTGGACAAAAAGAGCACCGTGCAACCAATCCCAATGCAACGCAAACACAGACTACAGCCTCAAATAGGACAGAGTTGATAGTCTCAACAAGGCCTGAGCATTACAAGCCTTACAAATGCAATATACTGGTGACACTGCTGGTCTATTGCAGTTAGTATTACTAAGTTTTTTCTGTTATTTTGTCCACCCCTGCATGATACTATTTCTTTAGAAAACGTATCACTTTAAGAAAGACTATGTGACTTTAGTTGAACGACAACCACTGTGGCCACAGGTGACAAAGATGGGATAATGGACAAATGCTAAAAATGTAGTGTAACAGTAGCACAAGATGAGAAAAGTCATAAAGACAGCAAAGTGACTGTCAGATACACAGCAATATCTCAAGTAAGCTAACATTAGCCACAATAAGCTACTGGTCAAATGAGGCTGTAGCAGAAAAAACTCCTGAGTGTATTGTATTGCTCAAAAACTCAACATTTCATTTGCAAGAGAAGTTGTGTGTTATTTCCTATTTTAAAAGTAATCGATAGATGTGTGTTCAGTTGTTGGACCAAATGTTATGAGACATCATTAGGGAGATATCTTCTTTTAAAGTTGTCACACCTGGCTGTCTTTCTGTGGGATGTTCTGTGATGCTGTCACTCTGTCATGGCAGCAGTGACAGTCTAGTTTGCGCTTTCCCTCCAGTAGACTGACACACTGGCCTGCTGAAGTGACCGTGGCTGGCAGGCAGACGCGGAGGGCTGAGACAGCCTTTAGTCACCTCCTGTTACTGTTTGGCTTAGGAGACACAGCTGACCTTTTATTCCCTCAGTAACCATTGCACAACAATGGTCGTAGCACAAATAGCTATATTACTTCAAATAATACAATCAGGTAATGGCTGTAGGCTATGTATGTATGTCACAGTCAACCAGTGTGTGCTGACTATGACACATACGCCTATATATAGCCTATATTTGTATCAGAACTGCTAACTTACTGAGAAATTCTGTTACATGTGCAATGTAGTGTCATTCACTTACCATGGACATAGGCCTACCTTTCTGTTGAGGGTTCAGTGGAAAGGTCTTAATAATGATACTTCCATGACATATTGAAGAAGGCGTGTTTTTAAGGAGGAAATGTTAATGAATGACAAGAGGAATCAAAAGTTTTGCTCTGCAGTCACTCTTTTAGTGTGAATCACTGCCACGCATCAGTGTGAATATCCATGATAGTAGGTCACAACATTTGGTTATATAACCACTCTTAATGTTCTGCTCTGCATCGGATGCAGATATGGAAATAAAAGATATGAGAGGATGTATCAAGATCCTGGGGCATCACAAGCGTGGGGGCTGGATAATGAGGAGGAAACGGGATCAGTCGTCAGGGTCGTCAGAGTTGGACCCTCATCCCACGGCTGCTCAGCTGTTACTGTCATCCATATTTGCAGCCTCAGTGGACAATTTTCTCAGCCGCAGGCCCCCTCAGTGCTCGCAACAACACAAAGATCAAGTGAATTAATTCTGCTACTGTGGCAGCACACTGGAGATCTAGGTCATGCAGTCATGGCTGTTTTTTTTTTGTGGACACCTATTGTTATGTCAGCCCCCTCCTTTACTCAGACACAATCTGACCTTGACATTCCCAGGTGATTTTCCACAGAAGTGTGTGTGTGTGTGTGTGTGTGTGTGTGTGTATGTGAGAGAGAGAGTGTGTGAGCCTGCTCATTTGACAGAGTGCGTGAGGATGTGTGTGCCAATGTGTCTGTGTTGGTATGCACGTCTCTCTATGTGTGTCTAAGGGTGTTTTATTTGTAGCTAGCATAGGTATGGTGAGATGTGTTATGAAAAAGAATGAGCCGCTGTCTATACTTAGGACTTGCCTGCGGCTATGTGTGCATGGACAAGTGGGAGAGAAGGTAGAGAGCACAGGAGTGGAGGTGGGAGGGTGAGCGGAGTGAGTGAGGCAGACGGAAGATGACAGAGAAGGGAGTAAGGTGGGAGGGAGAGGAGAGAAGGGGAGAAGAGGAGGGGCGTGCAGCGAGGGTACTGTGATGCACGCTGATCGGTCCTGCTCGCAGCTGATTGGCCACGGCGACTGCCACTCAGAGGGGCTGGGAGTCAGGCACTGCTAGGAGAGCAGATTATGAAGCGGAGCTCCATCAGCGGCAGTCTCCTTTCATTGTCTCAATGGCTGCACACGCGTTCCTCCTCTGCTCCCTTGCCTTGCTGTCCGCTGTCAGCCGGCCTGGGCTCTCCTTCACTGATGAAGAGCTGCAGCCGGGACTCACCTATGACGAAGTGCCTGAAATCCTGGACAGAAGGTAAATCCATCCTCTCTATGACTGTGAACAGAGGAGGGGTGTATGGGGGTGGGGGGTGTATGGGGGTGGGAGGTGGAATGGGGGTTGGGGGGTGTACGGGGAGATACATGCAGGGATGCTGGGATGCTGATATGTTCTCTTAGGGTCTTTTTTTTCTTCGCCTCCCTTCCCTCTTCCCCACCTCACCTTGGGTGTACCACAAATTGTGAATTCGGGCAGTGTTGGTGTATGAGAGAGAGCCAGCTGCGAGGCTTTGTTTGTCTCAGTCTTGAAGACTGCAACAGACGCTGCTCATTGATCACGGATGGGGCTGATGTCTCTGTACAGTGGTGTTGGTCTGGCTGAAGGGAGCTAAATAAGGCTGGGGGGCCTGCAGGAGAGGTACAGAGAGAGGGAGGAAAGGAGAAGGGAAAGAAGAGGGGGAGCAGCAGGGAGGGAGGATAAACAATGATGGGACAGGGAGGAGAGGATTCATCAGGGATGGTCTGTTGGGGTCTGTTTACTGATGCAGTCATTGAGAGAGAGAGAGAGGGAGAGAGCGAGAGAGAAAGAGTGGAGAAGGGAATTCTAGCCGGACCATGTCTGCATAATGCACATGCAGTCCTGCAGGTCAAATCTGGATAACATATTCAGGACTCAGAACCTGGGGGCACTCACAACGGTGGCACAGGGATGGGACTGAGCCAGCAGCCAGGGCCTCTGCTAGCACCAGTTCCTGCCTGCTCACATAGACACAAAGGCAAAGACCAATATTATTGTGCCAAAGCCATGTAAGGCTCTTGAAACTATGCCACGCACGGTGGCTCACACAATCCTCTATAGCGCAAATGCTTGGAAGCCATAATATACTGCAGTTTCTGGCTCAATGCTATTTAATCATTCAAATGATTTGCCATGTTATTGCACTCTCAGGAAAGTAATACACTCTGGAGAATTAAAGATTAATACTGTCTTGCTTTCATTTATTAAACTAACAGTCTAATCTGTACACATGTAAAGAAGTCGAGGGCACAGATAACTTGGACTTAGAATTCAATGTACAAAGACTCATGGGATTGCTCCCATTCCAGCTCAATCTAGTGTTTGCGAAGCCCTGACAGATCCCTAGCTCAACCTTTCCCTGCAGTCACTCCAACAGAGAAGGGCTACATTAATTTCTCCTGGGGTTTAGAGCCTATTCCTTGGATCAAACTTTGTGCGTAACTCTGCGACGTAACAGTTGCGTTCCCCAGCCACAGTTCTGTTCTCGGCTCTGACACACTCCAAGATGCTGTTATATAAGAGCAGCCTTTTATGCCTTTCATTTCAGAGGCCTTGTCGGGTTCATTACATTGGTTGGAAATGTAAAAGAAAGGGTACGATGAGTTAGAAACCTCTACTGCTCATAGACTCTGGGTTGCAGATAATGAAGAAAAAATGTTTAGTAAGCTTGATTTTCTGTGGTCACTGACATGTGTGGCACTATGACAAATATGGAACTGGACTAAGATTGATAGCCAAGAGCTTTACAAAATTATTAAAATACTAACCAGAAAGGACCTACTGTGTGTTTATACTTTTCCCTCTTATTCATCATCATCCAAATACTTTCTAGGAAATGTGTTAGAAGTACATTTTAGAAACGGTGATGTCTTTCATGTATACTTTTGCCCTCTTTAAAACAAAATAATTGCAGTGCAAAAGGTTGTACATAATTTGACCAATTCTCCATGTTTACACATTTTTATATAACTGTAATAATCTCTAGGGTAGCAATTATAATAAAACAGTCCAAGCAGAATATATTTCCACTGAAAATGAATGTGATCCAAATATGGGTACAGATTAGGGGTCCAGAGACTAAGTAGTAATTTTGGAAATGACCTCTTCACTCATCCGAGTCTATCAACAACCCAGGCAGGGATAGAGAATGGTAGGAAATCTACTGCAAGATGAGATTTTGCGGATGTAGTTGTAGTTGTTTACAAAAGGGGAAAAAAATGTTGACGTAAGCTTTATTTATTGCAAGACAACAGACGGAAATAAAAAGGATGTCATAAACGAAGCTGGTCACACATGTTGTAATGAGTAGCATGAACTACAAAGCTAAAAAGCGTAGATGGAATTACTTGATAACATATTGACACACAGCTTTTGATAGATTTGTTTTAAAAATGTGTTAATGCAAAGATCAAATACCTGATGAAATTGATT